GCATCTTTTGTGTTCATTCTATGTATTATAGTTTACGAGTAAATCAATGAAATGTAAAAACACTACTTTTTCGAGCATTTTTTAAACTTTGAACGCGAATTGCAGCCATACGGCTAAAACCACAGTAATATATGAATATGCATCTTTTCAATTCATTCTATGTATGAATAAACAGATGAAACTCAGTTAACAAAACAGTTGAAGGTGACGCAAATGAAAGCGGACTGCAGCGCCACGAATTATACAAATTACACAAACACTGATATCTGCAGATAATTGATAAGTCACGAAGTAGCTGGACGAACAAATTTAACAAGGAGAGCTGTGCCTTATCTCCATGGCAACTATCAATTGATGTGCTTTCGATATATATACATAGATACATTTAAACACAAAACAATATGCAAACGTATCAACAATTGAAATAAGAAAAAAAAGAAACGTTACGATGATGACATAAACGCAACGGAATGTTTAGTCGCGTTGTTGTTTTTGTCTTATTCAGATTTTGAACTGTTTAATCCGAAAGAAATCAATTGGTACTTGTGGGAGGAATTTATTACTTTCAATATTCCACTTCTTTGCCACTTTACCAAACGATAAAACAAGAAAAAGAAAAAAAAACGATTAACGCAAAACTGTTTGCTCTTCTCTTTCCATCATTTGTGCGAGTGTTGCGTGCGGAGGAATCGAGGACGAGAGGAAAGGGTGAGAGGGATGAAAAGAAAAGAGTTCAACGCTCGACGTATTAACAGAAATGAGAACACCCACCAATCTCACATTCGGACAACAAAAAAACGAAATTGGTCATATGATAGTTGATGGACGACAGAAAATTTAACAATATTTGCAACAAAAAAAAAAACATAATCAAAACTTTCGATTCGCATAACAAAAATTCCATAAAATGAAACGCGAACCGATTTAATTTCATCGTGTCCAATTCATACATTAATCACAGAAAACAAAGAAAGGAAAGAAATATAATTGGAATGGAATGAAAATCGATTACGAAACGTCAATTGCGAAATTGATTTACATATTTGTTGGTTATGATCAAAATAACAGAAGAAAAACAATAAACGTATTATGATTATAATAAACGTCATAAAACAAAAGAAGAAACATTCGAAAGCGTCTTCGATTTAAAATCGCGCTCTCTTTATCTCGCCGTTGTTCTTTTGTTAATTTCCGCTGGACGCGCGATTTCCGAAGAACAACAGCAGCAGCAGCAGCAATAACGAGGTGGTGGAGGAGGAGAGATGAAGAAGCTCAGAAGACAGATGGTTTTGTTTCGGACGTGGAAAGTAAAAGAGAATTGTGCTAGTAGCACTAACTACTTACTACTACTACACTAATTCGCAAACTTTCGAAATCCGTGCGCACAGAAACAAAACAACAATAAAAATTCAGATGGAGAAAAAGGAAGAATGAGACTAGGTGTAAAAATATGCTGTTGACCTCTAAAACGGTTTTGCGAGCGAACGTTTTGCGATGATGGCCATGTGAATTGTAATTTTGAAAGTGAAAGAGATCAGCGCGCGCTTTCGGTTTCCATTGGTAACAAACAAACAAAAAAAAAACAAGAGATACACTAAAACGTTAATTGGGAGAATAAGAATAAGAAGAAAAAAAAGGAGAGGCGATGCAATTACGTGGGGGAACCGACGAAACGAAAAGTCAATTAATTTGTTTCCTTTTTGGAAGGATCACACGACCTCAGCATTTCGTCGTTTTTCTTCTTCTTTTTTTTTATTTAAAAGATTTCCGGAAACTGTAATAGCGTTTTGTTTACGTGCGAAGAATTAGCGCTGCGGCGAACGTTCGATTCGGAAGAAATATTCGAAATTTATATATGATCATTAAGACGATTCAGTTCGAAGTGTCTCGTATATTTGTTATCTAATTATACGTGTCAACTTCAAACTTGACAGATGACTTGTTGTCAATCCATAGCAACCAAAACAGCGTCCTTAACAACCGGTCCTTGGTAACCGTTTAGGAAGAAAATGGTGAATGCTTTAAGGATAAATGAAAATTTCATTAAAGTTCGCAGAGACTTTCGGGCCTAGTTTTGCGTGGAAAATTGAGGTCGCGTCGGACGTCACGAAGCAGCAGCAGCAGCAGCGGCGCCCGGGCCGACGATTCGGATCGAAGGGTTGGACGAGACACGACATTGACCGAATTTTCGAAGGGGGAAGGAAGGGAAATTATGTATGTGTGTGTGTCTGTGAAATGACAAAGTAAACGTGGGCGCCAATTTCTTACGACTTTTGCGGCGGAAATTGATTTTTATTTTTACTTCGTTCGGAACGGAAATCGGCAAGGAAATGGCAATTACCGAGCGACGATTGATGATGACGTTTCTTTTTTTTTCTTCGTTTGTTTGTAAAGGGAAGAGAAGATCCCGAAAGCGATACAGAAGAGATAAATTTAGAACGATTTGTGTGTCGTTCCCGAATTGGAGACATCGAAGATGACCTTGAAAATGAAACGAACAAATCAGGCCAAAGGCAATTATCCCCCTGTACTCTGACGACGCTTCAAGTTCGAGCGGAAAACTATTGGCACACGCGATTTCTTTCACTGCAAAACAACAATACACACTCACTCACTAACATCAGTTAGTCAACTTTATATATAGATCTAGAGAGCGAGATTCTAATGATAAATATTTGACATATTATTGACATATTCGCGATGAATATTTGCAAACATCAGCAACTTTAGATAACAAAAAGTCACCAACAATTGGATAACAAACAGAACGATATTAGATAAGTCACACTGTTTACGTTTAGTTGACATTTTAGTGATTTTCAAATAGTTGTAGGAAATAAGTATTTCATTTATTATCTTATTGTTGAAAAGGCCTTGTAAGTTTAATTTAATTAATTGTTTTATAATAATAATTGTGTTTGAAGAGGTTCACGCGCGATGCGTGCGGTGGCGCGTCGATAGGTGACGCGCGCGCATCGTGCGCCCCCCTCGCACGAGCGGTCGCGATCCGCAGCTCCGGCGCCATCTTCGTGTCAGTTGTGGTTCGTCGTCGGTCGGTCGCGTCGCGTTTTATGAACCGCTCAATCCCCTCTCCGTTCACCGAAACCAAATAAAACGAGCAACAGAAATTCGGTGCAACAAC